ACCGGGCCCCCATGGGCCCGCCACCGGCTTGCTCTCTCGCTCGTTGTATGAATCTTGGTGAGGCTGTCTCCTCCTCATCCTCCTCCTCCTCCTCGTCCTCCTCCTCCTGCTCCTCCTCTTCCTCCTCCTCCTCCTCCTCCTCCTCCTCCTCCCTCCCTCCCTCCCTCCCTCCCTCCCCCCGCGCTCCTGCAAGCCTTGTTTCTGCGGGTATGGCGCGTGCGGCCATGTGCGGGCATGGCGGGGCTTTCTTGACTGGCGACCTCGCTGGCAGGCGCCATGGAGATGCATCGCATGTGTGGGCATGCGCGGGGAGGCGGCGACTTCAACGCTGCCCCTCACAGTGGCGCACAAGCGGGCGTGCACGCAGTGTGCGGCATGCGCGCAGAAACAACGCAGAAGCAACACAACGAACGTTAATAGAATGAGCAGTCCACTAGTAAGCCGTGTGTATGAAGATCCTCTGGAACGCCAGAGCGACATGGCGCGGTCAGCGCTACTTGTCCAGCGTGCCAATTGGAAAACAATGCCACCCTCGTTTCTCCTCCCGCCTCTTTCGTCGTCGTCCTCTTCCCCCTTTCCACCATCTGCATGCTGCTGCCGCGCTGGCATTGCGGCCCACATTCAGTCCTCGTCCTGCCCCTCGTTTCAGCCCCCGTTGTTTTTCGAGCCGCCCCCCCGCCCTCCTTCTTTGCCCCGCGTTCCCGCTTTCATTTTTTCGCTCAGAAGGGCGCATCCCTCGTCATTTCATCGTTGTCTTGTGAGTCGTGCGACGCGCGCGCGTCTCATGTAGCTCGCGCGATTGGTAACCGCGTTTGCGCTGCCGCTGTCCGTGCACATTTTGGCCAATTCTTCCTTTCATTTAATGCAGATGGATAAGGCACGTCGCAGTGTAATATTTAGAAAAGGCACGGTTTCATTCGAGACGTATTGAACACATGCTTTCGGCTGGTTCCTCAAAAATGACATGTTCAGGTGAAGGTTTTTCCTATGATGGCGATGGTGCCGATGATGTTGGTGGTGGTGGAAATTCAGGGGTCGTGATGGTGATGGTGGCGACGGTGACGGTAATTGTGATGGTTAAGGTGATGGGGGACGGAGAGATTTGAGGCATGCGGAGGAGCGGGGCGGATAACCACGGACAGGTTTGTGAATCTTCTCGGGGCGCGTCTCTATAGATATCCACTGTGGACGTGCAGGGCCGCCTGCATTACAATCGGCTGTGATGTTGCTGCACGTTCGCGCACAGCTTTTCACTCGCGCGCTTCCCGTTCATGTCAAGATACATGTGAAAGTATGCGTCTCGCCAGGGACATCTTCATCACATTGCGATGTTGCAGGTTCTGGTTTAGAACGTCCACTGCTAAACGTGAGCGTCTCGCCCGAGACAGCCGCAGAACATGCGCAGGTTTAGATCGTTTGGATGCTGTTCGGGTCTTTGAAGTTTGGGTTCTTACGAAGGGCACCTTCGACGTATAATCTGCTGTGTGCTATCATGTACGACCTCGTTTCTGAAGAATGAGGATTTCGCTTGATACATCCTCACAGCATGGATATGTTGAAATCGCTGGCGTACCCGTCGGATCTTCGAGAATGAGGCTTTCGCCTGGGACATCCTGGGGCAAGTGAGGGATCAGGGGCTGTGTTTGCCGAGGTCTTCTTGGAGCTCCCTGGATTACCCCCGAGATGACCGAAGAGGCGGCACCATTGAAACCACTGGTGTTATAACACTGTTGTTCGGTTCGCGTGCCTCTCGAGACATCTTCAAAACGTACCTTCGGACGGGTCTTCAAAATCGTACTGCAACGATGGCGGCGGTGATGATGATGACGATGTTGATGTTGATGTTGATGATGATGGTGATGGCGATGATGATGATGATGATGATGATGATGATGATGATGATGATGATGATGATGATGATAATGATGATGATGGTGATGATGATTATTATAATGATGATGATGATGATGCTGATGATGATGATGATGATGATCATGATTATGAGGGCGATGGCGATGATGATGATGCTAGGCTGTGATGGTGATGGTGGCGATGATGACGATCAAGATGATGGTTACATTGCGGTGGAGACGGGGAGCATGTGAGGCGTACGGGGAAGTGAGGAGGAGACTCAGGGACATGCTGGTGAATATTCGAGGAGCGCTTGTCCATAGGTATCCGCTGTGGACGTTCAGGGAGCTCGCCTACATTACCTGTGATCGAGATGCTGCCGCACGTTCTTCCAGATTTCTTCGCTTACACGCGCTTCCCTTTCATGCCAAGAAAAGGTTCTGAACGTCAGCGGTTCGCTTGCGACATCCTCACCATATTGCGATGTTGGAGGCTCTGGCTTAAGACGTCCTTCGTTAACCGCAAGCCGTTCGCCTAAGACATCTCCAGAACGTGGGCATACTGAAATCGCTCGCACACTTTCCGGACCTTCGGACATTGTGCTTTCGCTCGGGGCATCCTCGAGTACACACGAGATGTTGTCGGTGCTGGCGTGTATGACCTCTTTTCTGAAAGCTGGGCGTTTCGCTTGAGGCATCCTCAGAACACGGGGATGCTGAAGTCGCTGGCGCACCCGCCGGATCTTCGACGTGAGGCTTTCGCTTGAGACATCCTCGAGCAAGCGAGAGATCAGATGGTGTGTTTGCCCAGGACTTCTTGGGGCTTTTTTGGAGGATCCCTAAGACGGCGAAGAGGCATACTCGTTGAACAAATGCCGGACAGTTTGCCCCTTGGCCCCCCGCCAGCCCCACGGCCGAGGGGCGAGCATATATACGGGCGCAGCACCGCGCTGCATGCGTAGCCCTCGGGTGGGTCAGGCAGGGCAAGACCCAACACTGCATCGCGTGGCGCGTAGATGCCCGCAGTCGGTGCCAGCGAAATATCCTCAACCCCTGGCCTAAAACTGTCAACGACATATCCTCACCGCCCTGGCGTAAAACAGCCAGCGAAATATCCTCACACCCCTCAGCGAAGTATCCTCGCCCATGGCTTAAAATTGCCAGCGAAATATCCTCACACCCTTCGCTTGGAACTGTCAGCGAAAAATCCTCCCCTCGCTTGAAACTGCCAAGGCGATATCACCCACCCCCTGAAGTGAAACTGCCAGCGAAATAACCTCACACCCCTCTCTAAAACTGCCAGCGAAATCTCCCCACCCCTTGCCTAAAACTGCCAGCGAAATCTCCCCGCAAACCTCGAATCAAACTGCCAGCGAAATATCCTCACCCCCAGGCCTAAAACTGCCAGCGAAACATCGTCAACCCTGGCCTGACAACTGCCAGCGAAATATCATCACACACCTCGCTTCAAAGTGCGAGCGAGATATCCTCACCCTTTGCATTAAAACTGCCGCCGAAGTATCCTCACCCCCTTGAGTTACAACTGCCAACGAAATATCCCCACAGCCTTCGCTTGAAACTGCCAGCGAAATATCATCACCGCCCCTGGCCCAAAACTGCCAGCTAAATTCCTTCACCCCCTTGGCTTAGAGCTGCCAGCGAAATATTACCAATCCGGGCTTAAAACTGCAAACTAACTATCCTCATCCTCTGGCCTAAAACTGCCAGCGAGAGATCCTCAACCCCTGGCTTTACAAGTGCCAGCGAAATATCCTCACCGCCCATGGCCTAAAATGGCCAGCTAAATATCCTCACCCCCTTGATGTTAAACTTCCAGCGAAGTGCCTTCATCCCCTTGGCTTTTCACTGCAGCCGGAACATCTTCACCCCAAGCAATAAAATTGCCATCTAACGGTTGTGGTGGTTCAGGTGCCAGTTCAGTCAGCCAGTTTATTTCTTGAAAATTAAACTACGGGCTGCGCCCGTAAACCAATGGTGTAACAGCACTTTTGTTCAACGGTCTGCGTTTCGCAAGAGACGCCCTCGAAGCACATGTCTTAGGACGGGCTTTCCGATACGTAACGGTATATGGTGGAGGGTATGATCATGACGATGTTGGCGACGATGGCGGTGACGATAATGACGGCGACGATAATGATGATTCATGATGATGGTGGTGATGATGTTGATGGTGTTGATCATGATGATGAGTATGTTGATGTTGGTGATGGTGATGAAAGGCGAAGTTGATGCTGGTGATGTTGGTTATGATGATGGTGATGCTTATTATGATGGTTAGAATGATGCTGATGATGATTCTGACGATGGTGGTGCTCATGATGCTGAGGATGAGGATGCGGATGCTGACGATTATGATTATGAGGGTGAGGGGGATGAGGATGAGGATTGTGATGGAGATTGGGGTTGGATGGTAATGGTGACGATGTTGACGATAAGGATGATAGGTAAAGTGAATGGGGAGACGGAGAAAACTGGAGGCATACAGAGGAGTGAGGAAAATCATCAGGGAGAGGCTTGTGAATACTCGGGGAGCGCGTGTCCATCGGTATCCCCTGTTGACGTGGAGGGAGCTCCCCTAAATTACCTGTCATGATGATGCTGCTTCACGTTCTTGCAGAGTTTTTCGCTTTCACGCGCTTCCCGTTCATGTCAGGAAAGGTTGCAGGAAACCTCAGCCGCCCAGCCTGGTGGCCCCCAAGGGAGCCGGCGGATGTTTGCCGAAGGGCGAGCAGGGAAGACGAGGAGCAGAGGGGAGATAGGAAGACGAGGGGGGATGTGTGCACTAGGTGGCTCGATACGTGTCAGTCAAAGCCAGACCAGGAGAACGACGCGCGTCCAGAAGGGAACCCCGTTTAGATGCGCGATTCATTGTTGCCTCCTGCTGCGTTTCACGTTGTATGTGTGTGTGCAAAACTTGAAGGCGTTCGCATGTTTCGCAAAATCCATGTGCGTATGTCCTGTCAGTAGTTGCCATTTGTCCATGGGTGACCTTTCGTAATGGTTACCACTTGTTGTCGCACGACGCGCAGCTTTTCAGTGCCGTATTTTGCTTGTTCGCAGTTGTCCGTGCCCACGCACTTCGTTTATCGTGGTTGCACCTGTTTTCTAAGATCGCCTGGTTCGGGTCAGGAACAGCAGCATTATTTCAACTGCCCCTACCAGCTTATGTTTGTGCAGCCGAACGATCAGGCGGAAGACATTTCGTATTATTGTTGGCACTGCCCTGTCTCTCAGACTTCGCTTGCCTTCACATGGCCACCCAAAACACCGGCACGATTGCGAGGTCGCGTGGCGGGTGTGTCGACGGTCGTGCCTTGTCAGCCACAGGCACTGCTTCTGATGTCGTCGATTCGCTCGCCTCCGAACCGACTATTTGCGCCAGTGCTCTTATTGCGCAGGCTTTACGGTTGCTGCCGCCGACCCCGAAGACGGGATCTCCCCCAGGACCCCCGCTGGCGACTCCCCTGGGACCCCCCCCGGGACCCGCCAGGACCCCGGGGGGGGGAGCGGTATTCTGACCTGGGACCACCCCCTTTGGCAGGGAGGCAGAATTGAGGGAATCGACCTAAGTACGACGCTCCTTTTCCTTGTTGCTTGGGGGTTGGCGACGACGGCGAGGACGACGACGACGAGGACGACGATGAGGTCAAAGCCTCTCGCACACGCCGTAGGGTCGGCGGATTCCCACGGATTTCTTAGGTGCTCGTTTGGGGGACCTTCTGGGGCCCGCCCAACGGATCTCTTCTACAATCAAGACGCTGAAATAGGGACCAGCTTGGGCTCACGAGGGGCTCTGATTGCCGGGCCGTTCCCTAGAATTATGTAGTGGAGCATGTTGGTGGCCTAGGGCGGTCATGGCCAGAAAAGCCCTTTCGTTGCTTAATATGCGTTCATTCTGGTAGCACTCAAGTCCGACTCAAGTGGACGGATGTTCGACGCAGCATCGACCCGTGAGTGGAGCGAGTGGTTCCGGGAAGGTGCCCAGACTAGCAGCACCAGTTCTCTGGTTTCGAGAGCGTTTTTTTCCGAGCCATCTTGTGGAGTTGAGTCCCCGTTCTGGAGAGACAGTCTCCGCGTCTCCTTCCTTCCTTTTCTACTCCCCCTCCTCCCTCCTCCCATCCTTGCCTCTGCCCTCCGCATGTCCACCAGTTCGGCACACTCCTCACAGCTTTCGCGGCCCCATAGAGAGCTCCGCCGAAGGACCCAGTGGCAGCGCCCGCATGCGGCTCCCGTTTAATTGCGGCACACCCCTTACACGTTTCGTGACCCCACAAGAAGCTCCACCGAAGGCCCCATTGGCGAAGTTCGCATGCGGTTCCCCCCCCGCCCATTTGGGCACACCCCTCACACGCTTCGTGGCCCCATATGGAGCTCCGCCGAAGGCCCCAGTGGCAAAGTCCACACGCGGTTCCCCGACAATTCGGGCACACCCCTCACGCTTCGTGGCCCCATAGGGGGCTCCACCGAAAGTCCCAGTGGCAAGGTCCACTTGTGGTTCCCCGCCCATTTCGGCACACCACTCACGTGTTCTGCGGCCCCATAGGGTTCTCAGCCGAAGGTCTTACTGGCAAAGTTCGCATGCGCATCCCTGCTACTGTCGGCACACCCCTCACACGTTTCGTGGCCCCACAAGAAGCTCCACCGAAGGCCCCAGTGGCAAGGTTTGCATGCGGTTCCCCGCCGATTTGGGCACACCTTTCACTCCCTATAAGGAGCTCCGCCGAAGGCACCCGAGGCAAAGTCCGCATGCGGTTCCCCGCAGAGTTGAACACACCCCTCGCACTTGTCGCGGCCCCAACGGGAGCTCAACCGAAAGCGGTGCCCACAACGCGGTATTCACAACTGCGTATGGCTGGGTTGTTCGCCAGGTTGATTTACCTCCTGGGCCATAGCTCCGGGCACAACAGAGAAGCACAACCACAACTAAGCTGATTTTTCTGGAGGGCCCGTCGGCGGGGGAAGACCCACCGACCTCGACATAGATACTATGGTTGTGGTTGTGGTCGATTTGGCCGTCTTGGGCGCCCACATCGACCACAGCCACTACTACGCTGGCAGGTCTTCTGACAAATTTTGGCATGCGAAAAACATTCCCCAGGGTGCGTTTTCGAAGTGGTTGTGGTCGCTTGCTGTCCCCGCAATAGCGGGCGTTATGCCCCCCCCCCGTTCCCCCCGTCCCACCCCTCTCCCCCCCCTCCCCCCACCTCCCCCCACTTCCCCGCACCTCCCACCCACACCCCCATAATGTAACGCTCTCCCCTCCCAGCCCAGTGCGTCCCTGGCACTGCCGCAGTGCGTCCGGCACCACCGCCTGTCACGGTGGGGAGCGGTGGCGTTATGTTATGCCCTCTCCCCGCCTTTCCCCCCCCCCCCCCCCCCCATAGCGCCCGTCACCGCCGCGAATTGAAAGATGTCTTCTTCCATCCTCTGCTCGTCTGCGACCGGCACGCGATCCTATCAGGCCACAAGGCGGGATCGGACGGGCCTAGGATCAAGATCAATCCGTTCCAGAGCATTCTGGAACGCTCTCAGAGCGTTCCAGAACGCTCTGCAACGGCGGCGGCGCCCGATGATACATCGAACCCGCCGATTCTCAGAGATTTCCAATTTGTATCGGTCCGAGTTTGTCGTGATTCTGCCTTCGTCTTAACAGGCCCGAGGAGTGACCTATTGGTGCGGGCTCATTGGAGTCCCCCCATCGCCGAACGCGATGCGGTAGTAGCGTCTTGCGCAGCTGTGTATGGTCCCCCCGCGCCGCCAAACAAGCCGCGCACCAGAGGTCACTCTTGCCAAGGGTCACTCTTGCGTGCAGCCGACGCAAGGCGGGACAGGCCCGAGGGGACGACCCCGAGTCCAGCGCGGAGTACTCCGCGCAGGCAGAGGACGGAGACCTCCTCGTCATGGCGACGGAGCCGCGGGGGGTCAGCCGGGAGGCGTGCGCGCCCACCACGCCGGGGGGCGAGCGCACCTCAGCGCGTGGCAGGGGCCGCCGTGAAGGAGATGGGCCCTGAGGGACCCGCGTCATGGATAAGCTCGCCATGGGGGAAACGGGTCCTGAGAGAAGCGGGTCCAGAGGTTTTCCGTAGTGTTCGGGCTCGCGGGGCCCTCCACGGGCCCGGAGACCTTCAGAAAACGACTCAGGATGAACAAGCCGTGCTGGGGGAAGGCACCAGGGTCCAGGACCCGTTCTCCCCGGGGCACGGTGGGGCTCTTAAGTCCGCGGGTGCCGGTTGGTCCAGGACAGTCAGACGCCGGTCAGCAAGCGATGGGGTGCACCGGGAGCGAGCCGAGGCGCGAAGGACAAGGAGCAGGGCGCGAGAGGGAGGAAGAGAGCAAAGAGCCCGCTCGGACCACGAGGGCTGGCGCGGGGATGCCGTGGCGAGCTGCGCACGAGCAGCGGAGGCCGAGAGGCCAGCTCGAGGAGGAAGGCGGAGGAGGAACAGGAGGAGGAGGAGGAGGAGGAGGAGGAGGAGGAGGAGGAGGAGGAGGAGGAGGAGGAGGACCTGAAGAGGTGCAGGGCGCCGACATGATCCAGGGACGCGCGCCCCGGATGAGCTACGCTCTTCCTAGCGGCGCGCGGACTCCTCGCAGTCTTTCGGAGCTCCGCGCGGTCTTCTCGTGTCCGCGCCGGGGGCCCCCGGCGGCACCTCCGGCGCAGCCCTCGGCGCACTCCACGGGCCATGGAGGGGAGTCCGGCGCCAGTCCAAGAGATCCGCACGGATCTGTTCCCAGCCATCCTGTGGTGTTGGGTCCTCGCTTGGAAGAGACAGCGCCCTGCGTCTCCTTCATCCTTCCTCCCCCTGCTTCCAAGCGTTATCATCGATACCATCATCCTCAGCATCACCATCAGCAGCATCAGCAGCATGATCAGCATCACCAACCTCACCAACCTCATCATCATCATCATCATCATCATCATCATCATCATCATCATCATCATCATCAGCAGCAGCAGCAGCAGCAGCATCATCATCATCATCGTCATCGTCATCGTCAGAAGCAGCAGCATCATCATCACCATCAACAGCACCATTAATACAGTCATCATCATCAGCAGTATCATCATCAGCATCGTCATGGTCAGTATCGTTATCATTCTCATCAGCATCATCAGCAGCAACATCATCATCAGCATCATCAGCATCATCATCGTCATCGTCATGTTCACCGTCATCTTCGGAATCATCTCTATACTCAATGTTGACGTCATAGACATGTTCATCTTCATCTTCATCTCCATCGTCATTTCCATCTTCATCTTCATCGTGATCTTCATATTCATCTGCATCATCTTCATCATCACCATCATGTTGTCTCGGGTCCTTGTTGGTGTAGGTCCTCGAGATTGTTCCCCACCGTCCTGTCGTGTTGGGTCCTCGTTGTGATGAGACAGCGCCCCGCGTCACTCCTGCCTTCCTCCCTTCCTCCTCCCCCTCCTTCCTCCTCCCATCCCTGCCTCTGCCCTGCCTCTGCTCTCCGCATGAGTCAACCGGTTCGACAAACCGATCACACGTTTCGTGGCTCCACAGGGAGCTCCACCGAAGGCCCCATTGGCAGCGCCCCCATGCGGTTCCACTTTCATTGTCTGTGAACCACTCACACGTTTCGTGGCCCGATGGCGACCTCCACCGAAGGCCCCATTGGCAACGCCCGCATGCGGTTCCACCCCCCATTTCGGCGCAACTCTCGCACGTTTCATGGCCCCACACGGAGCTCCACCGCAGGCCCCAGTGGCAGCGCCCGCATGCGGTTTTACCCTCAACGTCGGCGCACCCCTCGCACGTGTCGTGGCCCCACGGGGAGCTCCACCGAAGGCCCCACTGGCAGCGCCCGCATGCGGTTTCACTTCCTATTGTTTGGCGAACTTCTCACACATGTCATGGCCCCCCCTTAGGAGTTTTAACCGAAGGCCCTAGTGGCAGCGCCCGCATGCGGTTCGACCTTCTATTTTGGCGCACCCCTCACACGTGTCGTGGCCCGATGGGGAGTTTCACCTGAGGCCCCAGTGGCAGCGCCCGCATGCGGATTCACCGACCCTCAGCGTCGGTGCACCCCGCACACGTGTCATAGCCACAAATGGAGCTCCACCGAAAGCCTCAGTGGCAGTGCCCGCGTGCGGTTCCACCCCCAAAGTCGGCGCACCCTTCACGCGCATCGTGGCCCCACGGGGAGCTCCACCCAAGGCCCCAGTGGCAGCGCACGCATGCGTTTCCACCCCACCCCACATTTCGGCGCATCCTCACAAGTTTCGTGGTCCCACATGGAGCTCCAACGAAGGTCCTAGTGGTAGTAGCACCCGCATGCATTGCTATTTTCATTTCGGCGCACCCCTCGCACTTTACGCGGCACCATACGGAACTCCCAGTGGCAGCGCCCGCTTGGCGTCCCCGTGCCCAGTTTGGCGCCCGTCACGCGAGTCGTGGCCCCATGGTCCACCGAGGACGATACCCACAGCTGCCTTTCTCGCAACTGCACATCGTTGGGTCCTTCGCCGGGATAATTTTCTAATGAAGCCGATGGCGGGTTTCTCATAGCTGCGCCATGGCCCCCTGGCGGCTCCTCCGGCGCAGCCTTTGGCGCGCTCCGCGAGCCATGAAGAGGGGTCCAGCGCCGATCCAAGAGTTCCGCGGGGATTTTTGGTCTAGTGAAGCCGACGGCGAGCACGGTAGGCTCGCGTCGTGTCGATTGCCCGCGACCCCGCTGCTGGCGTTCAGCGCTGAACGCCGCCAGCGACCCACAATCGGTCGATGTTGGACGACCTGACGCTTCGGGAGCGGTCGATCGCTCGAGGTGGAACGACCCCCGCGGTGGTCAGGAACCAGCGCCCGGGCCGGCACGACACGACCCCGCGGCACTCGAGGCCACGGGGCCCGTGCTTGCCGCAGTTTTTTTTTGAGCGAGCGAAGAACGGTACAAAATAAACTTTTTCGCTGTCGGGGGCGCCTGTCCCTGGGCGGCTGGAAAGTTTATACCCCTACGGTGCCACCGTAGGGGTATCAACGTTCCAGCCGCCCTGGGGCAGGCGCCCCCGACAGCGAAAAAGTTTATTTTATACCGTTCTTCGCCCGTTAATTTTTGGGCGTCCAGCGGCCCCTCCCACGGGCCTCGGAAATCTCTACCCGACAGCCAGCCCCGGGGCGCGCAGCTGGCCCCTGGGGGGAGACCACGGGGTCCGGGCGCCGGTCTCGTCGACTATATAGACGTAGAGAGTGGCCCTTCGCCGGAGTCGTCGCTCGGACGTGAGCATTCTCTTTCGGCGAGGACCATCGAGGAGCATCCTTGGCGAGAAAACCACGCACGAAACCGAAACAAAAACACAGGGAATGGGCGTCCGAGCGATGCCCAGTCTGGTGCGGGCACAGATGGGCCCGCAGAGGGCTGAGAACGGAGCAGCGGCAGCTGCTTGCGCGCCCAGGCTTGGTCCCCCCGCGGCCCCCCCCCCCCCCCGAAAGCCGCGCACCAAAGGTCACTCTTCTGACCCAGGGCCACTCTTGCGTATCGCCGATCATTTCCCCCTCCCCTTGCTCGCCGCCGAGTTGGGAATTCCACGAGCCGGGGCCACAAAAAGTGGTGAGGAGGGCATTTCCCCCTCCCCTTGCTCGCCGCCGAGTGGGGAGTTCCGAGAGCCGGGGCCACAAAAAGTGGTGAGGAGGACATTCCCCCCCCTTGCTCGCCGCCGAGTTGGGAGTGCCGAGAGCCGGGGCCACAGATGTGGTGAGGAGGCCGCGGGCGAAGCGCCGGGCCCTCCCTGCCGACACGCGTCCCCCCATCGAGCGACGCGGGGGGCCCCCTCCTCCTCCTCCTCCTCCTCCTCCTCCTCCTCCTCCTCCTCCTCCTCCTCCTCCTCCTCCTCCTCCTCCTCCTCCTCCCTCCTCCTCCTCCTCCTCCTCCTCCTCCTCCTCTCCTCCTCCTCCTCCTCCTCCTCCTCCTCCTCCTCCTCCTCCTCCTCCTCCTCCTCCTCCTCCTCCTCCTCCTCCTCCTCCTCCTCCTCCTCCTCCTCCTCCTCCTCCTCCTCCTCCTCCTCCTCCTCCTCCTCCTCCTCCTCCTCCTCCTCCCCCAGGCCCCAGCCCTCCTGCTGCTGCGGGGGGGCTGGGGCCCGTGGGAGCGATCCCGAGAGCGGCGGAGGCACAGAGCGGCCACACGGAGACGTATATCAGGAGCGAAAGAAGGACGTACGCGTACATGAATCCACGCTGTTTTCGAGAGTTCACACTGCACGAATGTTCGTATCGCGCGGCACGTCTCGCGGGTCACGGGGCCGTGTTCATGTACATAGCTGGGCGCGTACGTCCTTTGTGGGGTTCCTAGTATACGCGCAACGAGATGGGCTGCAGGCGAGAGGCGGCGCGCTCCGGGGCGCCAAACTCGGGCGGCAGGGGCCACGTGTGTCTCGGGGGGGTATACCCTGTCCCGATCCGTGGACATCGGCGCCCACGCACTCGCCAGATCCACGGATCAGGAATCCATGCTGGCATGCGCTCGCATTGCAGGCACCGATGCACATGCAGACACAAATTAACAGACACACAGACACACAAACACACACACACATAGACACACGGAGACACACAGACACGCGGACACGAGTAAACGTCGGTTCCCAGGGAAACGTGGAACATATGGGAAGTGGAGGGGGAGCCGACAATCCAGAAAAGACTGAAAATGCAGGGGATCCTGAGATTTGCGTCTGATCATTCGTGTGTCCCTGGGCCTCATCAGAATTGAGGGGCCCTGTGCAGAGGTCTTGACGTGCCACTCGGTTCGTGTGTTGGCGCTGTGCGCGTGGCGGTGGTGGAAGACGATAAACGGGCATGTCACCAAATAATTTCCAGATGCTTACGGCATGTGTTAGCAGTGTTCTACATGTAGAAACATGTGTGAAGAGCTTGTTCTCAGTGCCTTCAACCCA